CAGGAACACAAGTACATGTGCAGTACGTGTAATAGTGAGTATAAGAATCTTTACCTGTTTGGCAGGTTTTTCCTGTGTATCCAGGAACACAAGTAATTTGATAGTACGTGTAATAGTGAGTACAAGAATCTTTACCTGTTTGGCAGGTTTTTCCTGTATATCCAGGAACACAAGTACATGTATAGTACGTGTAATAGTGAGTACAATAATCTTTACCTGTTTGGCAGGTTTTTCCTGTATATCCAGGAACACAAGTACATGTATAGTACGTATAATAATTAGTACATGTCGCTCCATTAGCACAAGGATTGGTTTTACACATATCCTTCACTGAAAGAACAAAAAGAAAAACGGTGATCCATAATCTATAGCTCTCTCTCTCTCCCAGATACAGTGCCAGTCAGATTAGATAAGGCCATTTTTTTATCCCCCCTGCTAGAATTTATTTTAAATTTTTTGTTACATTTTGCTCGAAAATACGTGAGAGACATTCTATTTTGTTCTATATGAGAATAACTAAAAAGCACTGAGCTACTAAATAGTCTTTTCGAAGACATGTCGATAAGGTTCCTGTAGGCTTGGCAAAAACGTTAATTGCTCATTCTTACCTGATTCACAGTTAACACCAGTGTACTTAGGAAGACAGTTACACGTATACTGGTCTGGACCAGAGTTCACACACGTTCCATCATTTCGACAAGGTGCGTGACGACATTTGTTCAAGTCTAGTGGTATAACGATTACATATAGTTAGGGCTTCTGCAAACTCTGATTGTTTATACGCTGCGGTTGAACTTACATTAAGCGGCAACCCGAAGGGAATTGTCAAGTGATTGCTAATTTGAGGTAGATTGGGAATCAAGGATGGTGTAGTTCGGGGACTCAGTTCTCTTCCCAGACTCATCCTCACATTTAAGTAGAGTTTGTTAGGTTTCTTTCTTGATTAAAGGGTTTTTCTCCGGGTTCTCCGGTTTGCCTTCCTCCGCAAAACCTTGTATAACAAGCTAAATTCCAATTCTATCTGTGAGTTAGCCATGCCCTGACTTTGATCAGCCTAGAGCTGTTTCATGGTTTGATCTGTGAGTTAGCCATGCCTTGACCTTGATCAGCCCAGAGGCTGTTTCAGGGAATCGATACAAATCCGAAGGTTTGGTTGCCTAAAAGAGATTACTAACCTTTTTCGCAGTTGTCTCCTGTCCAGTCAGACCTACAAACGCAGTCATTTCCATTTACACAGTATCCTCCGTCTAGTGAGAAAATAAAAAAATTAAAATTCCTAAAATTCAAGACTTGTTTCATGCAAGATAAGCAATATTCACGTGCATTAACAGATGATGTGATCACTTTCCAAAGAACAAGGACGTGGGTAAGGTCACGGAATGAGCTTTTGCTTCAAGAAATGTACATATCGTGTTACGCGCAAATGATGAAAGTGTGAGTAGAAAACCAAATGTACTTGAATAAGTGTTTCCGCTAAAAATGTATACACAGTAGGTAAACTGATAGTTTATGCTTACGCTACTCCAGTTCTAAAATAGGACTCAAAAATGATCTATAGCACCTCGGGAGTCAAAGGATGGTGTAGCGGGAGTGCACAATATCCTCACACCTCTGAGGTCTCGGGTCTCAAAAATGATCGACTCGATCGACTCGAGACTCGGGTCTCGGGTCTCGGGTCTCGGGTCTCGGGTCTCGGGTCTCGGGTCTCGGGTCTCGGGTCTCGGGTCTCGGGTCTTGGGTTCGATTTCCAAACTCGGCATCACATGTGAGTAGTAGTGTATGTTACTGTAAGTCTCTAGCTTCCTTGATTCAAGGGTTTTTCTCCGAATTCTCCAGTATTTCTCCCTCCGCAAAACCCAACACGATGAATAACCATTTAATCTCAGATTTCACACCGTATCATCCCAGTGGTCGTTTCAGATAATCGACAAAATTTGAAGTTTGACCATAACATAGAAGGATGAGTGTGTTTTTATCTTACTTGGATTGCAGTTGGTACGTAGCGCGCACGTCGAGCACAGTTCTCCTTTCCATCCAGGTCTACATCTAAAAAAGAAAATATTGCTAACATTATGCTCCTTCAAGGAATCAAGGGGTGATGTAGCAGTAACACACTCGCCTCTCACACTGGGGTATCAGGTTCGATTCCTGGACTTGGCATCACGTGAGTAGAGTTTGTTAGTTATCTATCTTGATTTGAGGGTTTTTCTCCGGTTTTCTCCTAAATTCGATCTGTGAGTTAGGCATGCCCTAGCTTTGATCAGCCCAGAGGCTGTTTTATAACAACCATACCATCACGTACTCATCTCTCTCCCCTTCGTGATAGATATTCCCAGCTTCGTCATTCTTCTCTTCATTAACATTAGCCATGCCAAGGTTGAGAAAAAACTGGATCGAGTTGGCATTGCCGTGCACTGTGTGAGGAAATAGACACCATCCCCGCCACCTTGGAAATATATCCTTCAATACCGTCGATTAACTCAACCCAGTTTTGTCCTCAACCTCGGAAGGCAAATTTCCTTTTTCCCTCTCCCCTTCAGTCATACCCCGTTCTCTCATTCTTACCGACATGCTCCTGGTTCATTGGTGCAATAGCCATGATTTGGATCACATCTCTGCTTGCAGATCGCTAAAAAATATAATTTATCATAAGTAATTAGTAAAAAAAGGAGAAAATGCAGTTTGCGGTACGGTTCGGTGCGTTTGCCTTGCCGCTCATTTTGACCAAAAATGTTAAGCCAGAAATGAGATATAACAGAGATAAAATTGATTTTGACACTTGACCCGTGACTGATCGGCCATTTTTTTGGCCCTGGTCGGTATGCTATAAACTAAATGTTAATGCATTAGAGTATCGAGCAATCTCGTGAGATCCCAGGAGAGGAAATGCTATTTCCATGTATCGCCTATATCTAAACCAACAAAATGGGGTTCTTTAGCTTACCCGGGTCAATTTTTTCCAAGGGACCGCTATGTCAAAAAATTGACCCGCGTAGGAATCCCATTTTGTTGGTTTAGATGACACTAGAGAAAAACGTTTGCGCATGCGTGCATTTCAGCACGTTTCTAAGAATTTTGAACAGTTTGAGTGAGAAAATACATGTTTGTTTTCTCCAAATATACAAAAAATTTCGAGAGTATACTTTTGTCAGACCAAGATAATGTATTAACACAATATGAAAGAGTTAGCCTTAAGTTTCAAGCATGGACACTAAGTTTTGGCAGTTTGTGAATTCAAATTTATCAGGCATGTTTGAAAGTCAAATTTACTTATGCTTTGACTAATTTGCATACGGATTCAGAGCATGCGCAGACGTTTTTCACTCATGTCGGTTTAGTCAGGTATTCAAAAACGGTTAACTAAAATTAGATTACACGGTGATCCACATACTGTACCTGTCAGGCAGTTCTGTCCCATCCATCCTTGACGGCAGATCTTGTTACCGTTGTTCTGATCACATGTATAGTGCCCATTGGTGTTATCATCACGTGGTATACACAAGACACCACAGTCAGTACCGTAATAATTCGTGTCACAGTAAACTCTGACGAGAATCCTTGTCGTGGAGCGGCGTCCACTTATCTGGAAAAAGAAAGAAAAGAAACGAATAAATGAATGAAGAAGAGCAGTGGTCTTTCTATAGAGAATCCCTTTAGCTACATCCTAATAAAATTTTAGAAATGGAGGTAAACTGAAGGGCCAGAAAAATGTCCCCATGCAAATGAGAAATCCAACAACCTCTACTAAATATTGCCTGTCGTACCACAGCGTGGGACAACCACCATAGAGGCAGGCTCCAACTAGGTGAAAGCCCGACGATCGAATAGTCCCCATCACAGTTCCCTGCGCCATCTTGAAAGGTAGCCGTGCCTTTGTATCGAAGCGAGACGAATGGCGAGCTTGCAATGATAGAGACATGTGAATAATTGTCCAAGGTGTTGAAAAAGGTTTCTATCATTGCATGCTCACCGTTCGTCTCGCTTCAATGCAAAGGCATGGCTACCTTTCAGGATGGCGCAGGGAACTGTGAAGGAGACTATTGGAAGTCGATTTTTTAAGGAGTGAGGAAAACCGGAGAAACACCATCTAAGCACAGGAGAGAATCAACAAACAACACGACACCAAGCTCGGGAATTAAACCCGGGTCGCAATATTAGCGACCTTGAGCTTTTCAAAATCTACGACGGCGACGTCAACCGTAATTGTAAATAACTTCACTTTAGAGTTTCGCGCCCTCAAAGTCTGTCTTCCCTGTGGATGAGTTTAGTTTTGCGGACAATGTTTTGAATGAAATCTCCAATGAACAGACAATGACCTCAATTAATCGCACCTTCTACCACTGCTTCTCAACCTATGCTTGCTTAGGATATTTTATCAATTTATTTCAAAACAGTTTCCTCTCATAAACAAGGTACGAACGCTTGCACAAAGCTAAACTTTGGAATGAATCAATGTAAGTACCAATCGCAGCGCGCGGAGCAAAATCTCTGATTGTCCAATCAAAATGCAGAAACAATACGTCACAGTCACATGTTATCTAGTCCAATGAAAACTTACGGAATAAGTAACGGGAGGAGATGAAGACTTCTTGGCATCAATATTGACGATGTTGTATAAAGTCTGGTCTACCAGATCGCTCTTGCTGCCAATGCCCAGAAAGTTACCACTATCATCATCCCATACCTTTATTATGATGCCAAATGACCTCTGAAGGAAAATGAAAGAAATAGGTTTCGTTATTCTTGCAACCAGTTGTTACTAAACTCGTAAGATCTTTCGACTCAAGAACAAAGATCATCAAGAAAATAGACCTCTTTATCTTGTACGTAACGTGTCATCAGTGTCGGATCTAGGGGTGGGTTTTGGGGGTTGCAACCCCCCTATGAGAGCCATCGTGATTTATTATTATTATTATTATTATTATCATCATCATCATTATTATTTCATGAAAACACCAACAGCATCGCGATTTTTATTAAAACAGGGTTGCCGAACACATTTCGCTCGCTTTTTTTTTCTTCTATACGCCGTGTGTGGGTCCTGAAACAACCATGCTCGCCTGCAGCAAATATCAGCATTATCATAAGGCCTACTTCCGTTTGGGAACCCTGTGTGCTATCTCTCCACCACCTCAAAAAATGCTACCCCCCCCCCCCCCCCC